GAACCCAAATAGAAATAATATGGATCCCATCACACAATAAAATCATTGTCAATGAGAAAGCTGATGCAGCCACTAAACTCGCTACATCAGTTACGTCAAAGCACTGACAACCAAATTCAAGACATTTCAAGACTTCAAAAAGTTTGTAAAAGACTCCTGCCTCAGTTATTGGTACTATCTGGAAATTGGATGTTTCCAAACTCCATTTAGAGAGACTATCTATTCTTCACCCGACTCTCCCTGGAAAATATTTTAAGAGGAGAGAACAGGTTGTAATCACTAGACTTAGGATAGGCCATTTCAATCTGAATTTCTGCCATCTATTTAGGAAATCAGATCCAGAACCCTGCCCAAAGTGGGGTGCAGCAGTCTCCACCTCCCACCTTAGTCTTGAATGCCCTGGTACTAATAATATAAGAAAACTTCTAAATATTGAAGGAACCCTACAACCATATCTCAGTTCAACTGACGGGTGAGCCAAAATAATAAAATTCTTAGCAACTACAAAACTGTACGGCTCCTTAATGTATTAGAACTGTAATTAGATTAAACCGTACATTTTGTGAAAAATAGAATTAAATTTAACACTTTTGCCCTGTCATAATCATAACTTTCATGTTTATATATACAATTGTATAATAACAGGGGTCGCTGATGACCTTAACGTTATAAAGCGACCTTAAAGAAATAAATTTAAAAAAATAAAGACATTTCAAAATTCACTTGGCGGAGGCTGCAAAATTTTCTGTCAATTTCTCTGATAATTAGAAATTATTAATATAGATATTTAATCCTGAAGGATTCATTGCTTAGTGGTTCTGGGCGCGTCAACTGCCAGGTTCATTATTCCCGTAAGTGTAATGTATTTTTTATCGCGGGAGCTGGCAGTGATCTTCCTCTGTTGGATGGCGAGATTTGGCTACCACTAGGGATTTTCTCGAACTAGGTATCTCCAACCAGGAAGGTCCCGCCGCAGCCACAACAAGTTTTAAGCTCCAGACTGGTCTCCCGACAAGTGTGGTAATGTAGTGCCTGTGAATGAAAGTAGGGGGGGGTTGAGAATGAGACGAGGAAGAGGAAGGAAAGATTACGCGCGGCCCGTGGCCCGTTTGTGTTGGTACTGCTCCGGAATTCGTCCGATGTAGACCGGAGAATCACAGGAAACTACGATCAGAGCAGCCGGCCTATAGAATTCCTCTCCAAAGAGCTACTGAATTCGACCTAGCTATCCAGCTAGTGTGGAAAATTCAGCCTCTGTGGCAGACTGCACCGTCGGAACGCGAATCCTAGGATCTTCCGGACAGAAGCTTTAGGACGTTTTTAAGGTTCTGTCCCAGCTTGGAACAATGTTTTAACTATACTAGAAGATATGAATTTAGATGGCTCTAAGCTATTTTCATGAACGTCTACCCACTACTTCCTTGCTGCCTATTTTTTCCTCTTTTTGGCGCACCAAACACCGAACTATCGCCTAGTTGTCTCACTACAGTGATAGTAAAATAGTGTAGCAGCCATGGACTAGGGAATGAGAACAGAAATGGGAAGCAACCCTCGTAAATAAATTTTCTCTACTACATTACCTTAATGTGTTGCGTACCCAGCATCACATTTTCATTACTCTCATCTATGTATTTATATATACATTATTTTATTGATATAAATAATAAAATATTCACAAAACTTGCTTAATAATTATGAATACCAATTATTCCGAGACGAGTGCCCCGGAGTTCTTTATTATTTCAATAATTACTATTTAATATCAAAGTTCCTCAAATGCAACGTGTGAACCAGGAGAGCTTACAACATATGACTTGTAAAGTGCAGGCTCAGGGTTGTGAAACTGGGTGTGATGCTATGACCAGCTATGAACAGCAATAACACCAATAGCTTGGATAAAGTTTGTCTCCGTATTTAATTCATCACGTAAGTCGAAAGATGTACAACGCTCACGACAAATAACTTAGAATTTCTAGAACTCGTTGTATCTCACACTGGTAACAAAAAAGAACTTTACCGAAGACAATAGAATTTTAGAAATCTAAATGGTATAGATCCCCTACAAAGAAGCTGAACCCAATAAAAAATAATATTCTTGACTGTCATCTTTCACTCGCATAAGAATTGGTTATACCAAATGAACTGGCCAACACGAAAGAGGATCCAAAATTATGTCATCACAGAAAAATATATCTATTTACAAACAATGCAGTGTTATAGATATAAAATGGGAAAAACATTTTTAGAGATTTATAAATATATACAATTTAGAATAAACAATATACTTTGAATTTATTTAAAGCAATCATGTGTATTATGTAATTTGAGAATTGTAATATAAGATATAGTTAAGTCATTGTAATATATAATTGCATTAATATACTATATTATATTTCTGTAATGACTAATGAAATATTATAAGCAGTCGCTAATGATCTTGATGTTAATGCAACCTTTGTAAATAGAGTATAAGAAAAATCATTCAATTTCAAACGTTACGTCGCACTTATCCCATGGGCAAAAGCAGGATTTTTTCATCAAGAATTACGTATAAGAAGTTAAAATCCACGTTGTCATAATAATAATAATAATAATAATAATAAGAAGAAGAAGAAGAAGAAGAAGAAGAAGAAGAAGAAGAAGAAGAAGAAGTAGAAGAAGAAGAAGAATAGTAACAAAACTTGGTGTGATAAATTATCGTTAATGGCGTATTGACATAAACATCAAGTAATAAATCTGAGTTTTTTAAAATTGAATGTATAAATTAATGAATAATTAAAAGTTAATTACGTTCAATTTAATTTTAATGATCAATTAATACTGTATACAATTTATTACAAACTAACTTCATTATATCAAGAAATCATCAAGGTATTGTAAATAAATCAAAAGATTTTATTTCTGTTATATTATTAACAAATAAAAAATAATATAATTTTAAACAAATGAAACTAATTGCTAAAACTATCACAAGTTTCCGCTTATTTTCCAAAAATCTCAGGGAAATTACTACTGGAAATATGATGGATCGCTGAAGATTGCTGATATTTTACAGTGAGCGAGGTAAATATCTCATCAGAATGTGAAATGTGTTCAAATCTGACATATAATAGACACAAGATGCCACTTGTATACATGTAATATGATTTTTACACGTCAGTAATGTGTTTCAGCAGCTGCGCTTAAATGCCAACGCATACTGTTTCGTTCAAGAACAGTAGACTCAAACATGCGTTAGACATGCTGCCGAATTTCGAGAAAACAGTGTGCCTAAACCACTCCATCAAGTCTCAGACGATCTAAATTCCTTCCTAGGTCGTGGCAACAATCATTAAGAGCCCAAAATATCAACTAAGTGAACCATTCGCAGTCTCCTAGAGCATTATGTACCCCTGTTTGGGCTGTGTAGGCAGTTAATTATTCTGCCTACACGTACACTTCATGCGGCGTATTATAGTGGTACTTACGGAGAGTAACTTTATATCCATTACAAATCTTTTATATATAATACTATTATAATATATAGAATTTAGTTATTACATATAATAGTGAAATCATCAATATTTATGATATTGTCTTTAAATATTTTTGGCGGCTGAATACTGGCATCTAATCTTAATACGGAATGAATGCTTACTACAGCAATCAACACTTTAATTGTACTAACCAACCACCTGTATACTAGGGCCTTGTTACCAAGGTCTCTGAGATCTTATGTAGTTATGTTTCTTCCTGTACATGGGCAATTTGAGATGCAGGACATTATTGTCACCAAATTCAGGCCGGAATATAATGTTAACTGAAGGAATGTCACCGGATATCAATCTAGAGCTAAAAAAATCCTGAGTACTACAATGAATAGTCCGTTCCATCTTTCCGAGTGATTCTGTGCCATACAATTCTGTTAAAAATTCATCACGCAGTTTATTCAACCTAATACTGCATTGGTACATTAGACAAATGTGACCTACAGTGCATAGTGTATTTTATACTTCAATGGATAAAGCGAAGGGCAGTTCCCCCGCCCCTGCCCGCCCTGGTTACGCCCATGTGTAAGTTAACAGTCAACATGAGTTTGTAAAAAATATAGCGACTTATAGTGGTTTTGTGTGAACGGTATATCGTTAAAATAAACGATAAATAGGAGATAAATTTCATGCATTATCATCTGATGTATTTAATTTAAAACTTGAGACTTAACTATTTCCGACAAAACGAAAAAGCAAAAAAATCTGAAGAGAGATTCAAGTATAAAATGCTATAGTTACTGTTTGACAGACTAACCTCAGGTGTTCGCGGTACTATCATGCAGTATAGGTTAATAAATGGTGCCTGCAAAGTCAGTGAAACGTAAGAGTGCCCCAAAAATTCCCCATGCTCATCTCTTTAGTATTCTCAACCTCGAAGATAAACGTGCCAAAACACGTGTCAAGTCGCAGAAATAGTTTTGCTCCTTTTAGTCTCTTACGACGTCTACAACACAGACGAACATCAACGAAGCCTGCAGGGAAAACTGCCGACCCACAAAAAGATCCGAGAGCTGTCAAAAGTGCCACGGCCACGGCAATGTGCAAACGTTTTGGTGGTCGTGGCTATGATTGTGGTGGACCACACGAATAACATCAATAACGATCGTCCTGTGTAATTTGAAGAGATGAGCCTTATTACATTATCGCAACATAAAATCCACTACACATTTTCGATAAGCCTTGGACACTAGTCTCTGCGTGGCGAAGATTAAAAAACAAAGTCTATACAATGATAGGGCTCTTGTCATGGACGTCAAAGAACGCAAGTTCCAGGAGTTACAACTTTCCCGGCAAAGCTGTCATCTCCCAGCAGCCTGACATTGTGAAAACAAAAGGTCTCGAAACGACCTCGATAGAAGATAACGGGTGAGCGAAGCTTACATAGTAGTCGTAAACGGTCTTGTAATGAAGTAAGCTATAACCACGCAACGCAGCGCGGTGGCGGCAGCAGCAGTGTGCAAGCGTGCTCACCTGTCGCTCGACCACGCCGTCGCCCAGACGGTGCTGCTCCTGGCGGCAGACGGTGCAACTACTTGCACAGAATCCCCTCGGCAGCGGCCGAGCGCGGCCGGCGCCCGGACGCGACTGGTGCGCGAAGCGGCGCCACGCCAGGCGCCGGGCGGCGCCGTCGCTTCGAACGCAGCGGGCCCACGCGCGCACGCGCCGTCCAAGCGCCAACCAGCCCGCCCGCCAACGTCTGCGCGCCGCGTTCGAAAATCGTCCAATCACGAAAGAGAACCACTTTCACGATCACGATCATAGTAACATAAATTAGTTGGTTAGTCAGTTATACTTCGATTTTTTTAACGCGACGTTTCTAGGTCACGCACCAAAAAGGGAGAGAGAAGGCAGACTCCAATAAGGAGCTGCAACGTCACTACAGCTCCCATTTTTGCGTCTCCCTATCGGTGCCCTCTCCCTTTTTCGAGCTTTCCCTCCCCTTTTTTTGTGCGTGACCTTCCGACGCCACGTTCAAACATCGAAGTATAGTTAGTTAATCCAGAACCAAGAAAAGTCTGACGGCCAGGTCCAGCCGCAGCTTCCTCCCAGGCAAGACTGGAGGTCCAGAAGCAGCAGGTGTCTTCGGCGAAGTGAACCATGCGGTTCTCATTTGGGCGAGGAGGGTGTCGTGGATGACGCGAAGACTAAAGCGCCAAGCTCCCGGGCAGCGGTCCGCGGAGCCGCCACTCTCACCCCCGGCTGCCACAGGCGGTTTCCGCCGCTCACCGCTAGGTGCACTTCGATCGGCAGCAGCGCGCCGCCGGCAGCGGACCCACCAATATACTTGGGGGTTGTATTTCTGGGCGTGTGAGGACCTATATTCACAATTAAATATGTCACGGTATTTCGCGTATTTGTCAGTCGTGCCGATAAATGTCACATGATCTTCAGCACTGCTCGATACGGTCGCGATCATGCGACATCTAGCGGCACGACCGAGAAAGACGCGAAACGCCATGCGATATTCCATCGTGAAGACAGGCCCTCAGGCGCCAAGAAATAAAAAGCCAAGTATAAGTACGGGCCTCACCTTTCCACCATTTCAACGGGTTCTTCCCTGTCAGGGCAGCGAGCTGCAACAACCTAGTCACGGGCCGCGCCGAACCCTAAGCAGTTCCAGTTCGAGTTCGAGTACGAGTTCGCCACGAGCAGCAGGTAGCTCGCCAGAAGGATTCGAGGAGTACGAGGGCAGAGTCCGACCTGTGGTCGCCTGTTAGCAGCACGACGCTAGCAGCAGACGAGCGGAGGTTGACCACAAAGCTTGGTGCAGAGGACGGCCCACACAACACGGCACTACACGTGACGATACGGACTCATGTCAACTACGCATCAGGGCGGGATTAAGACAAATCTACGGCAATACAGGTTCTATACGGATTACTCGTAGGATTGAGGAATAAATACACGTTTTAACTGAAGTTGTCGATGTGTTTGTATTCCGCCAATCCTTTGGATGTAACAGAGAGCTTAGAGGTTCCGCCACTTGTGGGAGAGGTCTTGGATGAGCAAAACCACGCTAACCGACATGTAGGTCAGCGTCGGATCTTGCTACCAAGCGGAGGGAGAACACCGGCATCTCCCGTGATGAAAATACGCCCTACACTCACCTAACTAATGATCATAGAAGTTGACGCGCACGAAAAAGCGAAATAATCAATTAACCTATCGCGCGCCTCCTCAAGGAGACGAATAGAGGAACCGTGCGAAGTAGCTCAATGCTTCGACAGATGTCACTGCAGTGCCTCTGACCGGGTGGTCTGTGGTTCGAGTCCCAACAGTGGCGAGATATTCGACACTAGCTTGTCAGCTAGGTCGAATTCAGTCGCTCTCTGGAGGAGAATTCTAGAGGCCGGTTGCTCTGATCTGTAGTTTTCCGTGGTTTCTCCGATCAACACCAGGCGAATGTCGGAGCAGTACCCTAACAAACGGACCACGGATCGCGCGCTATATCTTCCTACCTCTTCCCTGTCCCATCCTCAACCCTTATACAGACACTCTCACTATGATTGTGGTGGACCACACGAATAACATCAATAACGATCCTCCCAATATACTTGGGGGTTGTATTTCTGGGCGTGTGAGGACCTATATTCACAATTAAATATGTCACGGTATTTCGCGTATTTGTCAGTCGTGCCGATAAATGTCACATGATCTTCAGCACTGCTCGATACGGTCGCGATCATGCGACATCTAGCGGCACGACCGAGAAAGACGCGAAACGCCATGCGATATTCCATCGTGAAGACAGGCCCTCAGGCGCCAAGAAATAAAAAGCCAAGTATAAGTACGGGCCTCACCTTTCCACCATTTCAACGGGTTCAACAGAATACATTACCACACATGCTGGGAGACCGGTCGGGAGCTTTGAGCTTGTCCCGGCTGGGACGTTAGTAGAAGATACCGGGTTTTGGAAAATCCCGCTAGCTGACAGTAAGTCGGCGCCAGATTTCGCCATCTCCCGAGGAAAACTCGAAGTAATCAATTTAACTCTTACGGGACTAATGACCTCAGTTGTTGACGGCACCCGGAATCCCTAATAATCAACCAACGAATAGAGAAACGCTCGCCATATGGAAAGCACTGGGGGAATTAAACACCTCTAGTGGACTGTCGTGGACGCCCTTGACCGCTTAAAAGACCCGCCACTAGAGCTCAGCAGCGAGACGACAGCGCCAGGGGAAACTTCAACCCCCACCCCACCCCACCCGAGGGAGTGTGCCAGAGGTGGACCGGAGGCGCTCGTCACAACTCAGAAAGAGCTCACGTCGCCGACAACAGGCATAAACCAGTTCCAGTCAGGGAACCCCTAGCCCGTGGGCGGTGTAGAAGAGCCCCGCAGCTGAGAGACAGCAGTTGGGGTTCAACTGTCGATGATATCGAGGAGCTAGTAGTGAGAGATGAAAAGTTTTCTGGTGGCGACTATTGAACTGTGAATTCTGGACTTTTCTATGTAGTACGAATATACACTGACTTTCAAAGTGGTTTGGACATCTTCTCGGCACTATTTTGGACATCCTCTCGGCCCTCGGCGACTTAGCTAGTTTTCAGCACGTCTTCAGGAAATTCGGATTATTGTTGCATATCTCTGGTGCATTCTTGTAAAGTGAAATTGTGAATAATAAATTGTTTTATTTTAAAACTTGCGAGATTTGCTCACAACATGGACCAAAGTCACAACCTGGGTTTTGGGTTTGCCGCCCACTTCCTAGTGAAGTGACGTTGCAGTGAGTAGTTGAGCCTCGACTTCATCTGGCAACAGGGCTGTCCCAGAAGGGAAACGTGTCAGTCCCATTCATAATGACCACTCAAAACGATCAGCATGTCACAGAGAACATTGAACAGGGAACACAACTTAGCCCGTCGTCTATAGACTCGCCTTTTTCTTTATCTAGAACTGCCAGTAGAAAAAATCGTATTGATATAATAAAATGGATTCGTAAAATGAATTTAGAAATAATACGTACATTAGAAATGAATACACACAGAAATGAAACAATACGTACGTCAGGAACATTACATAGGAAGTTGGGTGTCTCTTTTACTGGCAAGTAAAAATCGGCCAAGGCCCAGTGCGAATAATATCTTCGAATAGGCCCAGTGCGAATAATTTCCTTTGTATAAGACTAGTAATGCAAAATATAGATATTGCAATTGTCGGTTTATTTCCGTCACCCACAGGGTTCGCGATTATTATTACTCCGAATCTTCGGCGAAATCAATGATTTCCTAGATACAGTTACAGCTGAGGGTACCAAGTACTAATTTACTAGTGTTAGGGGACATGAATGCTCCGAATGGCACATGAACAAGGAAAGTTTTTCGATTCGGACCCGCAAGAAGCGAAGAGCGAATTCCAGAAAAAGCAAAAGACTCGGGTCATCATAATGATGGGCAGGAATTGCCTTAGATTATGCGGGGAAGATTTAAATCTAGTAATCTTAAATGGCGCTATGGACAGGATACGGGCGGCGAAGGGGAAACTAACTGTATTAGTGGGAATGAGATGGAGTGTAATAGATTACGCTCTGTTGTACGCAGGACAAGAATACCACAATTTATTAGATTTTTGAGTATCGAAATTACGGGCAGATTTGATCATTTTGCCTGTGTGCTTGCATTTAGCAGTAAATGCTTCTGCACTTGCCTGGCAGGAGCGGGGCAGGGGCAACGAACATTGACGATGAAAGAAAACGGTTTGTATGGAAGAGGAAAAAGCGACAGGAATTTGTTACAGGATATTCTTAAGTCGGCAGGGCGACGCTAGAGGATGCTCGCCGGAAACGCAAACCAATCTGAACTTAGAAAAAGCGGCTCTACCGCGCAGGAAGGGTATGCGAAGGTGGGGGAGAGAGGAAGGGAACGGACCAAGGGTGGTTTTAGCGAGAGTGTCGGAGACCAGCATCGAAACTATATAGCTTTAAGGAATTCAGAAACAGGGCGGGAAGGAAGAAGCTAGAAACAGTTAATTTTTATTACGTAGGCATTACGAAAGGCGACAATTAAGAAATCAAAAAATCTTGGCAGGATTATGCAGGCAGCAAGAATACAGACAATTCTAAGAAACGGATATATAGTAAATCAATTTGGGACGTTAGCAGATCTTTGCGCAAATAAAATAAATTCAAGTAATTGAAATTTCAGCAGACGCGTGGGTGCAATATTTTTCTCGGACGTTCACAGTAGAGCATTGAACAGGGCAAGGTATTTCACTGAACCAGAGTGTGCCTGAATTAGACGAACTCTAACCTGGACTGAAGTAAATAGGGCTATTCTAACAATGAATAATAAGAGGCAGGTGGCGCGGACGGCATTCCAACAAATTCATTCGGAATTGTGGCACAGAGGACAGAAAGTATTATGAAGTTATGTAATGCAATTGCTGATTCGGCTCGTATCCGAAACGTGGAGTACAGCTAGATATCCTCCAACGATTTTTAAAAATAAAAGGGATGGCGAATTGCCACAAAATTATCGCGGAATTAGTCTTTTTGCAGCGTGACAAAACTGTTCTGTAAAATAATTCAACGGGCGACGGAGTGAATGGGCGGAAAAGTGCGGTAAAATATCGATTGCAAGGCAGGCTTTTAGGAGAGGCTACGCGACAACCGGACAATATTATTTGTGTGAGATACCCTAGTAAAAACAGGCGCTGGCGCTAAACGGGGCCACTTATATTGCAGTTTAGATTTCGA